TATCTGGTTTGGGTTTTTTTTTAATGTTAGCAACTACCATTTGTAATAACTTTCTTCGCAAGACAGCCATATCTCATCTGTGCCTTTTCTTTACCTTACATGGGAGAGAATGATAGAAGTCAAACCCTGGCTGGGGCGTGCGTGCACACAGGGCAGTTTGTGCCGCAGAGAGAGGGCCGGGCGGGTGCCAGTCACGGAAAGACCATCCTGGGGCGAGGAATCTGCTTTGTGAGCATATGACAGTCGTGATGAGTTGGTTTTTAAAGGTCTTTTCTGTTGCACTTCTTTTTATTCTCAAATGTTCGACCATTTAGATGACACATGATTAATAGGACTTTAAAAAAAAACTGTCAGAAAACAGAATATTTAAAATATTTTTAAATGCTTCCCCAGTTCTAAAGATGTGTTTTGTTTCTCTTGGTACCCCACAGTTGTGTTAGTTTCCCGGGGTGTCTGAAACAATCCCCACAAACCGGGTGGCTTAACACAACAAATATTTCTTCACCCACAGCTCTAGTGACCAGGCGTCTGAAATTAAAGTGCTGGCAGGGTTGGTCCCCCTCCGGAGTCTCTGGGGGAGAAGCTGTTCCGTGGCTCTCTCTGCTGGGTCTTCGTGACTGCCCGCCATTCTCAGCGCTTCACGGCTTGTGAGAGTCGACTCGCCCCGGTCTCTGCCTCCATGGCATGGCCTCTTTCTCTGCGCATCTGTTTGTCTGCTTTCCTCCAGTCATTGGAGTCAGGGCCCACCTGACCCAGGATGATCTCACCTGGAGATCCCTACCTGAACTGCAACAGCAAACACCCTCATTCCAAAAAGGTTACCTTCAGAGGTTCTGGATTTAAATGCTCTTTTTTTTTTTTTTGGTTTTTGGGGAGGGCGTCACCATGCAACTCACCGCAGGAGTGATGGCATCACCCTCATGGCACTTCCCAAGGTTGATGATCTTTGTGTCATTTCTACTTCCCTTCTCCTGTCACACACACGAAACACAGGGTTTGAGCACTCCTACCCTGCTATAGCATTGGACAAACTGAAGCAAAGTATAGACCCTTATAAAAATAAGAACTTTTCACAGACTCTCCCTTAAAAATTTAACTATTTTTAAGCTTATTTAAATGTGTACAACATAGAACTAGGTTTAAAGCTCTTACACAATCATAAAACAAAAAGTAATCTATAAATGAAGTAAAATAAAAGTACACCACCAATAAATCCCAAGTGTAATAATTCCAAAAGGTTTTTTATTGAGCATCTATTATGCACCAGGTATTGTCAGAGGTGCTGAAGACACAAAATTAAACCAAACTGGCTCAAATACCTGCCCTCATGGATTATATAGTATATTAGCAACCTGGATGGGAAGAACCACATAATACTGATATGCCAAAACCAAATGGCAATTGAAACATAATTATATGGGATCAAGTGCCACTGTCATCTGAGCCAGACGTGTCTCTGCCTGTGTTGACCATGCATTGACCCAGTTCTGCCACCTCTTTCCTCTGTTTCAGCAACTGCCAACGGTACCTGCAGATGTGGAACTGGGCCATCATCGAACACAGCAGCGTCACTGCCACATCAAACCCACTACTGTCCTTTCTCGTGAGCCCCAACAACTGAACTGCACACCATTCTGCCAACCCATTCCATTTGCCTTCCTACCAATGCAACACGTCAATACGTTAAATAACTTAAGAAACTGCAATCTTGCTCTACGAAAGAGACTTTAAAGGACAAATTTCACTACAAATGGGTAATTTTGTCTTTAAAACTGATTAAAATAATTTAATATACACTGTCTGGATCCTTTAACATGCCCCGCCCTATGGCTCCATCAGGATTCTCTATGTTTCTGGAGCCTTAACTCCAAAAGAAGAGCAGGGTGGAAAAACACTGGCCACACCCCAGCATTTCCCAAGTGCTGCCTCTTGTTTTTCTTTTCTAGGATTTAAATTAAGACATGGGATACATAAAACATATTTCTCAAATTTCAATTTAATATTTTAAATTTAACACTTTGGTTTAGGTGTTTCCTGCCAAAACACGAACACAGAACAACAATTCCATTTTACCAGCAAGGAACAGAGGCTTGGCTGGGTGCAGGGGTTGAGGGGAACACTATGGCTCCACAGTGACCATTTATGGCAATGTACACATCCTTTTTGTCCCATTCCCCGGAGCCTCTGAATTCCTAGGCCGTTCTCTAGAACAGCAATTTTCAGCCGTGTGCTGCAAGAATTTTTAACACATGCAGTACCTGACTATTTAATCAGGGGCACTGAACTCCTTTCTCTTAGATTGTCAAATAAAACAATGACAACAGCCAACATAACAATAGTCATCCAGTGTAACAATCAAAATTGTACCTACCTTTTTGGTCAGATGGGCAAAAAATATACTTTTGGTGTGGTGCTGAATTTTGGTGATTCATTAATGTGTGCCGTGAAATGGAAAGGGGTGAAAATCACTGCACTAGACCAAACGCACTAGGGCCAGTCATTCTTTATTGCCATAGAATGAATTTCTTTTTATCATTCTGTTAAAGTTATTTAGGACAATTTTGTTCTTTGGGCACTTCCAGTGTTTAGACTCCTGGATAAACAACCACTGTGCTGAACAACAGTGGGTGAGGAATGGTTATTGTGACTTTGACATGAGAAGCGGCCAACCTAATAGCAGCCAGACGTGCTTACCAGCATATATAAAAGTTAATTGCTATCATTTTGGTGATTACGTGGTGCCAACATTCAACCACAGATACAGAGAAAACACAAGACCTAAATCACACGGCAGGGTTGTTAGAATGCGGTCACCCAGATGATTGGGAAGAAAAGGCATTTTCAGATTCTTAGGGAGAACATGCCAACCCTGGGAATACGTATGTAGACCCCGCATGGGGACACAGACTTACAGCATATTTCGGATTTTCCTGGCCCATACCCAGAGCCCCTGACACACCTGTTTTAGAACTCTTATCTCACTCAGGGATACATTGTCCCTCTGCCTTTTTTCCCATCCCCCCTAAACCACCACCTAAACAGAAACCTGACTGATTACCCTCATTTTAACCAACATACTTGAGATTTACTGTGTGCCAGATGCTATGGAAAGTTCTAGGAACACCAAAACGAAATATACATAATTTTGTTTTGCAAGGAACTCGCAAATTTGTGTTCTCAAGGGAGCTCTCTTCCAGTGACCCTGACCTTCTTCACTCCTTCAAAGCAGTCTTCAAAGTGTTTCCTTTCCTCATTCCTTCCCAGACTCCTCTCTCCAGGCTTTGCTCCCACAACACCTTCAGTAACTCACCTAGCCATGAGCTAGACCTCTAACTCTCAGAGTTCAAGTGTAAATCCATATGTTTATGTACATATTTGCTTTTTTTTTCTCAGAGTTTCTTCTGTGTCTTTTCTTCAGACTCTGAGCTCCTTAGAAGTCAAGACTTTGGGTCTCAGAGTCAGTCTGGAAATGCATATTTCCTTGTAGCTATCATGATTTCCCAAGATGCAAGCATTTTTCTCCTGTTCTTAGACTGACCTCATTGCTACCCAATTCCACCTGAAAATTAATTCAAGACTACTTCAAAGAGCCAAGATCTTTACTCCTGGATGCTACAGCATTTGAGATCAGCCCAGCTGGGCCTGGGACCCTCCGGTCCCAGGAATATTCCGGGCTTCTAATATTCTGGGCCTGGAATATTAGAAGCCAGCCAATCTGGAGAGCTAGTCTGTGCCATCTGGGTACCCCAAACCCCAAGCTCTCTGCTCTCTCAGAGTCTGAATCTAGGACTCTGTGCACGGTGGTTCATGTGCTCACATCTATGTTTAGTCAGCCTTGCTTTGGGGCCCCCACCTGAGTCACATCCTCCATTCGCTCTGCTTGGCTTCATCAGTTCTATTCTATTTTATCATTCAATAGGAAAGACAGGCCAACTTTTACCTCATGGCTGCCCGAGGCTATTCGAAGGCTTTGTAACACCCATAATGTTCAGAGACAACAAAGTCAAGACCATCCGAATTACCTAATGAAGTAATGCAAACAATAACCCTTTCACTTGAAGCAAGTGAATTTAGAATGAGAGCGAGAGAGAGAGAGATCAAATGAGATGTGGAAGCACTTGCTTTAATTCATTACATTCCAGATCTCCAGCCATGGAACAGAAGTGTGCATGTGCATACGCACACACACACACACACACACACACACACACATAAGAACAGCAGCCAACACATGAAGACTCCTCCATATAACAGTTCACATCATAACCCTCAGGCACCCCTGTAAGGCAGACATGATTATTATTCGAATTTTTGTGTTCTCAGAGAGATCTGACAAGTGCATTCGCTGGCTGCATTTTGACTGGAGTTTCTCAGCTTGCACTTTACAGAATTCTTAGCTGGTACAGAGAAATCCCCTCTAAAGCCTCTATGACAGAGTTATTTTAGAGCTTCAGTAGTTTTTCTTTCTTTAAGCCAAGTTTTTTAAAAAATTGTTAACCTTACACTCTATTTATTTATTTTGGCCTCGGTGGACTAGACCACAGCTAAAACTTTATGGACCTAATAAAATTCCCAACATTCTCAGACACAGGTCGTGATGTTTGTGCATTGGGCAGAAAACAGAGGTGCATTTATGAGGAGTACGGACCTGCTCAGAGATAAATGGACTGAGAGCAGGCGTAGAAGACCCAGCTGCAGGCACACAATGTCGCAGGCAGCACGTGGCTTAAATGTGTCTCCCACCTTCCATACTCTCTCTCCTCTGTCTCCTGTCCCACACAAGCAACACAGTGCCCAGAGCTATTTCTCGATTACCAGGACCCCCCTCCATGACACTGCCAAGGGCTTGCCCTGCCCACAATAAACGGTGTCTAGAACTCCCCATTCTATCCTCACACCTGTTCCTTCCAAATGCATCTGTCCTGTGTTTCCTTCCCTCGAAGCTCTGCTGTCTCGTAGGTGAGAGCTGGCCAATCTGATAAAACAAATACATTTGTTACCTCTATTGTGTCGGGGAGCCCTTGCAGCAGAAGCTTTCTAGGTCCAACATCTCAGCACGAAGCGATGGTTCTACTGTTCAGGAAGTGAGTAGAGCTCACGGCACTTTGGAAATTATGCCACACCAGTGGCCACTTAATTTACCCACCACTGTGGCCTGAGTGTTTGCATCCCCTAAAAGTCTGTGTGTTAAAACCCTATCCCTCATTATGATTGTACTTGGGGGAGTGGCCTTTGGGAGGTAGATGAGGTCATGTGGGTGGAGCCACTGTGATGGAACTAGTGTCCTCATAAAAAAAAGGAGGAAACACAGAATTTCTCTCTATACTCAGAGAGAGAGAGAGATCCCAAGGAAGGCCACGTGAGAATATACCAGGATGAGGGTTCTCCCCAGACTCCCTCATGCAGGCACCCTGATGCCAACTTCCACCCTCTGGACTGTGAAATATAAAAGTTTACTGTTTACACCACCCAGTCTATAGCATCTTCTTACCACAGCCAGAATCCACTAAGATACCCAACCACAGCATGGGTCCCTGAGCCTTGCAGGAGGGTGCAATACTGTATTTGACTTCAGCTGTGCACAATTAATCAGACTTTTCATCTTGCACTTCATAAGCTTCATAGTTTTTCAATGCCCCTTTATCTCACTTGATCCTAACAGCACCTCTACCTTGCCTGGTAACAGAACTCTCCACACGTTGGTACCCTTTTTCCTACACTAGACACAAGTTCTCTTATCCAAAGGGTTAGCCAGTACTGCTTACTGAGGAGACTATATTAGATTAGCTAAAAAATGCAAGGCTCCTTTAAGTGATGACTGTGAAAAAGAAATAAGATATGGTTCTTTGTCCCTCATAGGGATTAGTGATTTTAGTTACTTAGGTAAGAATTACTGCTCCTGAAGGAAAGTCTAAGTCCTCAGGTGCTCTGTACCTACGGCCTCTCTATTTTCTAGGATCTGAAAATTTGGTGGGAATATAAAATAAAATTAACTATGCCTGGAGTAAATTAGCACTGCTCTCAATCTGTAGATAAGATTAGGGTTTGGGTTTTATTTTTTTGTTGTTCCAAAAACATTTCATCTATGCCCTTCCTATCATGTATAATGTTTGAAAAAAACACTGCTTTTAGAATTGACATCTTGCCATCTGCTATACTTTCTCCCCTGCTCCTTATGTCTGCAAACGTTTTCCATTTAGATTATCATTCCAGCAGATGTTATATCATTTAGAATGTTTGCTTTCTCTTCATTAAGATGGGTGCACAATACATTTTATTATTTTGCAAGAAAAAAGCCTAAAAAAAGATGTTCAGAAATCCTGAATTATTGCTTGTGAATTGTGTATGTGTGTGTACACCAGTGGTTTCTGAGAAGGGAAAAGCTAGAGAAGAAGGCTTACATTTCATAAGCACTAAGAAGAATAAGCCTACCTTCCACTCATTCCTAAAAAGGTAATGTAGGTGAGCATTTAAAACTCCATTAAAAGCTTTGTTACAAAGCATTTTCAATGTTCAAAACCACATATATGCAAAGCAGAATGTTTATGTTTTCAGAGGCACTCCCTGGCTATTCAGTGTAAATATTAGCTCACATGCTAATGAGCAACTCTCTGGGGATCTTAAGTACATAAAAGTCTGCATTTAGCTGTATTAACACAAGCTTGATTACAATTCTGTTTAACTGGTTCGTAGCTCTGGAATGAAACAGTGGCTGCATCCAAATTATTCTTCTTTCTGAGTAGAAACCCTTCACCCGAATCACTGCCTTCCAGCCTCCTCTCTTCCCTCTCTTCTCCAAAAAGGGAAGGATTGCAGTCATTAACACCATTTTTAGATGTAAGTCTATGTTATCTCTCTGGAGTAATTTGGATTTTTAAGCATCCCTAAAATATGTAAGACCTCGGTTTCTATTAGTGAAATCTTAGACATCAGTAAGCAGGAATGGAGGGGCCTAGAGAGGCGGGAAAAGGGCACGACCTTCCCTGGACCCTTGAGGTCATCGCCAGGGTTGCTTATTCATTTCCCAGCAAGGCTGACCTTGTTAAGTGCAACACAAATAGCGAAAAGTGCTAAAAGACAACAGAATCTCCATGATACTTGGAGACTGTAAAAGCCTGAGTCCGTGAGATTGGCACAGAGGGTTTGTCTTGACTTCTCACCTCTCTTGAGCAGGGAAACCATTTTTCAGGCATCGGGTGGTATTTTATCCTGATTATCTTGTTTTTGACTAGATGATATCTAAAGTCTCCAACAATCATCAGATTCTGAGGTTATACTCATCTTAGTCCCTACAGAGTTTAGCACAGAGACAAAAGTGGGCATCCAATAAACACCAAATGAATGAATGAATGAATGAATTTCTCTATTTGAGAGTAAGTTGTGATTGCAGTTCCAGGAGACAATAGAAGCAGGATCAGTGAGCTAAGACAAATACCTGAAAGAACATTTCTGAGGCTGATATAATTTGACAGTCCATTTTCAAATGAGAACTCTGGGATAATCATCAGCCCCAGTCAGTATATGTTCCTTGGAAATGCTATTAAGGGCTTGCATTTCCTTAGCAAAGTGTTCATGCAGCTTCAGAGCAGGGAGTGTCTAGTCCACTGGAGGCATAAGACAGAGAAACTGGTAGCAGGGAAATGCTGTGCTGAGAATTTCTGTTCTGCAGAGGAAGATTCCAGTTCGTCACCAACTCGGCTCATCCAGCACCTCAGGAGGAACCCCAGCACCTCAGAAGGTCACATTTTAAGGATTTGTAACTCCTGCCAAACTTTTTTAGACCACAACCTCAGTCGAAGGGCAGCCTGTCCCCTAAGTACATGAGACAAACCTCCTTCTCTACCAAATCCTCTTACTTGGTAGCAAACAAAGATGTTCATTTCTACAGTGAGATTTCTTTTAAATTTGTATTTATTTATTTTTAGAGAGAAAGAAAGGGAGGGAAAAAGAAAGAAAGAGAAACATCAGTGTGTGTTTGCCTCTTGTGCACCCCATAATGGGGACCTGGCCCACAACGCAGGCATGTGCCCTGACTGGGAATCAAACTGGCAACCCTTTGGTTTTTAGGCCCATGCTCAATCCACTGAGCTACACCAGCCAGGGCTACAGTGAGATTTTAATTTTAAAATGAATCTGCCACCTCTCTAACCAAAAAAATAGCAAATGTCTGATATTAGATTCTTTCCTGAGATTCCATACATCAGGGGTGTCAAACTCATTTTCACTGGGGGCCACATTAGCCTCGAGGTTGCCTGCAAAGGGCTGAATATAATTTTAGGGCTGTATAAATATAACTTCTCCTTAACTAGGGGCAAGGAGCTCAGTGCTGCCGCCAGGTAAAAACAAGGTGCCAGGCTGGATAAAACAAGGTGGAGGGCCGGATTCAGCCCAGGGGCCTTGTATTTGCCCCCTGTGCCCTAGATTGAGCAAAGAGAGGACCTAAGGACTGGGAGTTGAGGACAAAATGTGTTAAAAGGTGGCTAAAACAAATGAGAAGGCAACAGATGCAGAGCACAGAGAAGGGGGCCTGCTCGCACCTGAGTAAACCAGGGGAGTCACAGTTAGAGAACCCAGCGTCTGAGCATTCTTCCTTCCCTGAAGTAACAAACATAGTCATAAGCCACAGGCAGGGGACTGGACGAGAACCACCCCAGGACAACACACCAGACCTAATGTGGCCCGCACTAGCACCTCTCTCTTCTCCTCTGCTCCAGCCCAGCAAGAAGCTGGAAGAGCTAAAGCTGTGTGGGTTCTCAAGGAAACCAAAACACTCTCCATAAGATCCCTGAGGGGTTGAATTCCTCTCTCGTTGGCTCCACTTCCAGTCTCGCCCAGCGTCAGAGGTCAGTGCTCCAAGGGTCAGGAAAAGAACCCTGCCCAAGGCTGAGCGTCATCTCAAGAGACCTATGACCCCACTTGCATGTTTCAGGTCAATAAGATGGCCATATTCCACAGCTTTCCCTGCCCCTAATGTGCTCTCATTTGCCCAGAAGCAAAGCAACAGATGAAATATCAAGGATTATTCTCAAAGAACAGAGGAAAATATATTTTTTAAGAGTTTTGATGGTTGGCTTGATTTGAAGAAAAACTATTTCTGATTAGTTTATCTTGAAATTCTTAGATTTAAATTGAGCATTAACGGATTGGGAGTAGAAGACAGGTTTGTTTATTTATTTATTTATAGGTTATAACCAATTTATTCTACCAAATTAAAAATTAAAATTTTTACCAAGAACAGGTTCCAAAACTTATATAAGACATTTTCCTCTTGAGACATATGCCTTTGTGTAAGTGGGTACATACTGCTAATTCTATGTGGGTGAATGTTATATGTATTATTACACAGTTATTTAAATATTGTCTTCAAATATTTTTAAGCATTGTTACCCTGCCTTTAACCAAACACACATTACCAGAGCCATAATTAAGAAACAAGGCATAACATTTGAAAAGAAGAGAAAAGCTATACAAATTAAAAACTAATAAACTAGAGAAATAGCAATTACATATTTTAAATTATAGAATTATACATAAATAAAATCTTGAGAGAACAAAATATTTTACTTCCATAGAAATGTCATATTTCGATATTGTTTTTACCTTTCTGTTCTAGTTAACAAATCAGAGCCCTGCAGTTTATTTCCCTTTGATTTTTGGTGAGCTCTGTGAAACAATGTATGAATTTTCCCTTCTCTCACTCTTCACTGTCGTGTAAATACGGCATGACCTGAAATCTTCCCCCATAAAAAAGCATCACCATTTAAATGGAGGGGAGGTGGGGCCAACTCACTAATAGATGCTGTTAAGATAGATGCCGTTTAGATAGATGCCTCTGAGATATGCAAATAAGATTTTGTTTCTTCTAATTTCTCTGTTGATATAAAAAACCCCACTCTTACAGAACAGATAGAATTATGGCTCACATATTGTATTTTTTATATAATTTGATGAATTTTTTAAAAATATCTTATTTATTTATCTTTAGAGGGGAAGGGAAGGAGAGAGGGAGAGAGACATCAATGAATGGTTGCCTCTCGTGAGTCCCCTGCTGGGAACTGGCCTGCAACCCAAGCATGTGCCCTGGCTGAGAATTGAACCGTGATCCTGTGGTTTGCAGGCCCGTGCTCAACCCA